ATATTACTTGTTTTTTTAACTATCAATTATTAATTATTTAATAATAATAATAATAAACCCAAGCCAAACATGGATTTTTATGATAAAAGGTTGTGTACATAATTCCAAATAAGTAATCAAGGAGGTCTCAGATGAATTGCTTAAGGATTTGGATATTGAGGTCCTATAATATTTTTTGAGTGCAACTCTTACAAATGACATATTTTTTTTATATATCTTTTCTTATTTTTCTTAGTGAGTATGCCTAAATTAAATGATCAAATCTGTTCTGAATATAGTTGTAGTATATATTCTACATAAAAAAAAAAATACAGATCAAGTAATCCTTCAGTTACATGTAAAGTCTTCAAGCATCACATCAATTCACAAATTTTGAAAAATGGAGAAATGAAAGCGAAAGATTAGAACCTAAAAACTAAAAAAACTTAAAAGGATGTAATTATTCTAAATTCTCTGTTGATTCTCTTAAGTCTTATCTTTTATTTTTTGTGTTACATCGGCGCCCTAGGGAAAAAGAAGGTCAGGCACACCAACTACATATATTACTAAAAACGTTGGGACAAAGATTTCAACAAAGTGAAATTTGGGATTCCAATTTCAAGCCCATCCGTAAATATATGTGAGACACATCATTATTTTAACTAACAATTACTGTTACCAAAAATTAATGGATGATAAAAAAAAAAAAAACTCCTCTTTGTTCAACAAATTTAATCCATATAATTGTTTGGTTGATGGGTTCGATTAAGGAAGAAGGCCCACGAAAAACTCATCAAACACAAACCAATTTCATACCTTAAAACTCAAGCAAGAGTGACATAGAGAAAGAGGGAGAGTGGGGTGTGCTTTTGGTAACACTTTTTACTCACTTAGCATCCTTTTTACATGATGAAAAGGAAAAGTTCAGATTTTGTAGGCCAAAAGGCTTTTAATAATGTTAACCAAAAATCTTGTTCTAATTAATCTCATTTTCCATTTGTTTCTTCTTTTCTTTACTTTTTTTTACTTTAACCAAAGTGAATTGCAGCAATTGCCGCCAGGCAGTCTTGACTAAAGTGACTGAGGAATGTTCTCTTGCGTGTTTATGGACCATTTAGATTGACCATGACTTCCGGTAATTTGCCAGGAAAAAAGTGATTGCCTCATCATCATTTTATTTTCAAACAATTCATTTCAAATTTTGACTTTTCAAGTTCTTTTTCTCTTTGTAAATCAAGTTTTTGTTCAAGTTAAATAGGTATTTCCAGTTTCTTGTTGGTGTACTCTACCTGTTTCCATCTCTACTAACTATATCTAACGTGAGAAAGTTGAATATTCCTAATTTGTCAAAGATTGAAAAATTAAAATTGATACTCGTTTGTTTTGAGAAATAAATTTATTTTGGTCCTTAGATCGTTTATCAATTTTAACTTTTTTTCAATGATAAAAACGCAGGAAAGGGTGTACGTACGTACCTGTTTCTAGTCTTCTTTTGTAATTGAATTAGGTGTCTGTGTGTAGGTTATCAACACAAACACTACAATTGACTTATAAGGTCCCGAAACCCAATTGCATTTGCATGCACATGGACAATTAAACCATGCATTTTTTGGTGCGTAATACAATTTGCCCGTGAAAAACCATGTATATGCAGTTTCAAATTATGCATGCTTCATATTGATTTCAATCTACAGGTATTTTTTTTTCGATTAGATCACGAGGGAAATGAAGTCCATTCGGTATAGGACAGTGATATGGACCAAGAATATTGTGTGACCATGTGCCTTTGTGTGGATCCTTCTAAAGAGAGTCAAGCATACCGGACGCTCAGAATTTCTAGCAAGTTGTTTTCTTTTCTTTTCTTTT